ACATTTAACACAAAAATTAATGACAATGTCTTAGCCTTTTAATTAGCTAATCAGTGATCACTTGTCCTAACATAAACATCATATATTTATAACTGTTAGAATCCAAATAAGGTTCACACATGATTGGTTAATTTATCTTTTAACTCTCTTTGGACTTTCTATTTTTTTTTTTTTTTTTGGTTTGTGCCTTTATTAACTTTGTCTAGCTCAGTTCTGTTTGTAACTATTCTTCATCTGTTTATTTCATTCTTTTTTAGAATTTCATTCTGTTTGTCCTCTGTAGCTTGGATTTTCCTGAATGCTTCCCATGATCACATCTAATATTTTCCTTTATTTATCAATTTCCTATGAAAGAGTAGCTCTGTTTTGCTCCCTGAATAAACACAAGCTTTATTTTGAAGATAAGGCTATTTGATAACTTATGTTATAGACATTGTTTTTAGCTTAGTTGTGTCTATTCAGTATCTACTGAAATGGCTGTATGAATTGTATTTTCTGATATGGCAAGATTTTTATAATTTGTTGAATAGTAAAATGAATTTGCCTCCTGGTTTCTCCCTTTTGACCTTTCCTCTGCTTTCATTTCTAAATGTGTTTGGTTGATGAATAAATTAACCTATGTCAGTAAATGTCACATGATAATTTCTGTAATTCACTGAATAATTGAATTCCTAATCATTGTTGGGAACTCGGTCCTCTTGGTTTTGTGTTCTTTCCTTTGGTATGTAAAACTTTTGACTAGTTCTGTAAGAGAGAATTCAACATTTCCCTTCTTAACCTCAAATTGATCCTGGTAGAAAATACAGAGAAAACATAATAATGATGTGTGCACTTGAAATTTAGCCTGGTAAGATCTATGGATGTATCAAATCAAGCCAGTCAAATAGATTGTTAATATTTACTTTGCTGGCTGACTGGCTTTTACTCTCTTAGAATAAGCATTGATGAGACAGTCTGAAAGATTGTGGTCTCTTAGCTGTGGATACTTTATACTTGCAGTGAACTGTCAGTGATTAGTAGAATATATGTACAGCAGAATTAAAGTTTTGAAATTGGCTTATTACTTAAGGAAGGATTATTGGCTTTGTGAAAAAGAATAGGTAGCTGTCTTGTAACTCCTCCCAGTTACACACTTTGGGCTGATCCTCTGCTTTAGAAACATTGTGGCTTCTCACAGGCATTCATGTCACTGAGACTTTGCTGTCTAAAAGGCAGTAAACTACTAAGATGATTAACTATGTCAGGAGTAAAATATACTATTGGCAGGTTGGTAGGGAAACATGGGGATTTAAAAAATAACCTTTCCTGATAATTTTATTTTTCTAAGGATAACACTGTCTAATGACATCAAATCATTTACTCAGCAGCTGTTGGGAACTTAGATTCTGCTTTTTGTTTAGCTACAAATGAGATCAGTGTTAAAACAAAAGTTTTACGTTTGTTTTATAAAGAAAAACACATCAAAATCACTATTTTTTTTTAGAAAGAGAAGTACTATTAAGATCGTCAGAAAGAGCCTGTAAAGGGAACTTTATGATTTCAAAGGCACTTTGTGTTGATTTTGTTTACTATTGGTACTGACCCATACCTGATCTTCTAGCACGTTTAAGAGACAGTAAATTGCATGGGAGGAGATTGTCCATCTTGCTCCTGCAAAGCAGCTGATGGATTCTAACCACTTATCTTTGCATTAACAGTGCAGTTCCTTACCACTAAACCATCAGAGCTCCCATCTTATTACGAACCTACTTCAGTCTTCATATACATGTTGTTGTTGTTGTTATTGTGGTGTACCATCTAGTCAGAAATGAATCCATATCTGACCCTCCAGCGAGTTTTCAGAGGCAGTTAATCGCATGGGAGGAGATTGCCCATCCTTCTGCCACAGAGTAGCTGGTGGATTTGAACCTCATGCCTTCAGGATTGCAGTGCAGATTCTTGCCACTAGTCCACCAGAGCTCCATATACATGTAGCAATACAGAGAACTAGCATATCTGGATTTATTTGTATAACTTTGGTAAGTTTTCTTCCCTAATGCAGTTTTATTATTTCATTAGAACCATATTGGGAAAGTCAAAAGGTTATAATCCAGATTAATAATAGAATATAGTCAAGACTAAATGGCTCACCAGAACCATTTAAATATAGGAATAAACTCCAACATGTGCTGTAGTTCTTTGAAGTCTTATAATTCGGCGAGTATTTAGTTGTTATTAGGTTAGTTCTTCTGAGTTAAGTTTGTCTCATTCCAAAATTCAAACCCATTGCTGTGGGTCAGAACTGACCCTGTTTTACCTTCCATTGAGTTTCTGAGGTTGCAAATTGCATGGGACAAGATTGCCCATCTTTCTTCTTTGGAGTAGATGATGGGTTTGAACCATCAGAGAGACTTTGAGCAATACAGCTCCTCCAGATTTCACCACCAGAATCATAGTGAGCCAGTATACTCTGTTCTCACAACCATATCTATGTTTGAGCCCATTGTTGCAGCCACTGTGTAAGTTCATCTCCTTGATCTTCTCTTTTGTTGTGACACTTGGTCAAGCACAATACCCTTCTCCTGGAGCTGATCCCTTTTGGTTACAAGTGAAAAGTCTTACCACCATCATTTCTTTTTTTTTTTTTGAGGGTTTTTTTTTTAGGGTTTTTTTTTTTTGAGGACCACCAATGTGTTCTTTTCAAAAGGCCTTCTAATTCCATATTTTTGCACATTTCATTATAATTTGCCTTGTTTTCTTAAAGCTGTTCTGAAATCTGCTGTTCATCTGTTTCACATCATCATTTCCATTCACTTTTCACTTTGTTCAAGAGAAGTATCAGAGATTTTTTTTTTTGCTCTCTGATAACCAGTTTGATCTTTTTTCAGATTTTCTCTTTATGGACCTTTTAGTTTCTTCACATCTTACAACAGAAGTTGGTCTTTGATCATTAGTGTTCATTTTTTCTATCTGTTCTTTAGATGATCTTCAGAAGAGATATACTCAACATCATACTTGAGTGCCCATGACTTTTTAGTTTTCTGCAAATTCATATTGAATTTTCATGTGAGCCATTGCTTATCTGTCACACCCTTACCATTTTCTAGTGGATACTATTAAGCTTCTTAATCATATATTTCAACAGATGTAATAATTTTGATTACTGTGTGTTCCATTAGGTGAGGTCCACATAGTGTGATCACCATTTAAGCTATTGAGGCGTATATCCTTGGTCCTACAAAATTCCATTATCTATTTTCAGAGGTTTGCTTTGTTTTGTTTTGTTTTTTATCATGAAGGTCTTAATTTGCAACTACTTGTCCTTATTTATTTTTATCTTTTGCATTTCAATCACCAATAATTATTAATGCGTTTGATTGCATGTTTGAGCAATTTCAGACTAGAAGCTTATGTTGTTGACTTCCTTTGTGTTGAGTATGACTCATAGCAACCCTGTGAATGAAAGGCCTGAAGCCCCTCTACAACTATCAGCACTTCTCAAAGTTTATAGTTTCCAGAACCATGTTGTTTAGGAAGTGGATGCTACTGTTCCTGCTTCCAAACCTGTCATTAGAATTTTTTTGGTTGAGTTGCCTGTGATGCATAGTGACCTTATGTACAGCAGCTCTGAATCCTTCCCTGTCCTGAGCCAGTCTCACTAATTCTGATACATTAACCTCCATTGCCCGAGTCACTGTATCAATCCATCACATCCGGGATCTTCCTCTCCTGTGCTGTCTGTCTACCCTTCTGGGCATGATGTCCTTCTCCAAGAACCAATCTCTCCTGGCCACAGGCCCAAAGTGAGGCAGAGCTTCAAAATCCTAGTCTTCATAAAAAATGTTCAATTTCTTTTCCTCTAATATTAGCAGGTGGTATAGGACTTTGAATAGTGATTGTATTAACAAGACATCGTTGAGGACCTATAGGTATTATTCTATTACTAAAAGCATTATATTTAGTTAGATCTTAATTTTTTTTTACAATTAATGGGATGCTATTCCTCTGTAGTTTGTCATTCTCAGTATAGCAGATCATTTGATTACTAATTCAAAATGACCAACAGCAGTCCTTTTCAACTCACTAATATATAGAATAAAGCTTTGCAATTCCTTTTTTACATCGTGTAATTTTAATAGAGTCATAGTTTATACTTTCCACATCCTGGTTATTAATGGACCTCTGCAGCTATTTTTTTTTCTTATTCCTTTCCTGTCACATCAGCAAATAAAGATCCCAGAAGCTTTACTGCATCCACATCATTAAAGTTGACTGTGCTTTGAGGCAGCAGCTCTTTCCCCAGTTATATTTTGAATGCCTTCCAACCTCAGGGATTCATCCTACAACACTATATAAGAGTATTCTGCTGGTATCCATAAGATTTCCATGACCATTTTTTTTTCAAAGAAGTAAATCACCATGCCTTTCTCCCTGTGTTTAAAATAATGCAAACGCCTAACTTTATCACTTTGGTATCCAAAGGCTACCAAACAAGATTATTAGGGACATCTTGAAGTACATTTAAATATAGTAAAAAATTGGATGAACTAATTCTATTATGGAAAATTCGATTCCATTTCTAGTATGTTGATAGGTTGATTTTTGTTCTGGCTTCCCTCTTTTATTACCAGAGTTTAGTGAAGGAGAGGTCAGGTGAGGTATTGGGTTGTAGGACACAATATTAGTCTGGGAACTGCCCAAGTCAGTTAAGTACCTTTCCTTTCTTCCTGCATTTCCCCTCCTTCTTTTCCAAGTATCTGTTTTTTTATTTGCTATTCAGCAAAGGATTGAGTTTCTCCTCAGGAAAACATGCCAAACCAGAATGACAATGCTTCTGTGGTTCTGAGTCTGGGCCTGGACTTTTCCTTTGGAAAACTTAACGGCTTCACCTGTCTCTCCTTCGGCATGGAGGGGAGCTGCATTGGGTAACACAGCTTGTCTTGTTTGGTTCTGATCCGGAGTTGTATTATGATGAGCCACACAAAAGTAGTTTTTCCTAGTGGCAGTTCATAGTGCATCAAATACATAATTCCATAGGAGCTATATTATATGCAGGGATAATACTATTTTCAGAATTCTTTTTTAAAACTGGGAGTTCAAAGAGCAAGAGAACATGCAGATTTCTAAATACATAGACAATGAAGATAATACAGGTAAGGCTTTAAAAAAACCACCTTAATTTTATAGATATTGGTTGCTGTACGTTGGAATGTAAAATTATTAAAACTTAAATGTTGTATTATAAAATTGTATATGCAGTTATTTAGTTTCTTTTTCTGCAAGACCATTAAGAATGGTCCTAAAAAATACCTGTAAAAGTACATCTCTTCCTCAGGGAAGATAGATACAGTGATTGCTCTTTGAGGTAGCCTCTGTACACTGGTGCTAATTCCTGCTAATTGTCAAAAAAGAATAGAGTGTCTTATTATCAGTAATTTGCCTTTGTGAAGGGTTCTGGTCTGTTGGTGCTATCTACTTTGCTGATAAAGAAAACACTACGTAAAACAAGCAAGAAAGTTAAGTCAGCCCTTTCAGTACTGTTTTCTTTCTAGCTTGTCTTGAGCAAAAAAATACCAGACACTTTACAGGAAATTCTGAGTGATTCCATGGGAAAATACTTGGTAATAGATAGAGCACATTTAATTCTTCCTCACATTGTAGTTATTCTGTGAGTTGACAGAATGTAGAGTTTGATTTTTTTTAAATAGTGTTAGAAACAAATTTAATGTTTTGTCTCTTACACTATGATTTTTAAGTGTTAGAATCACACATGCTATTGTAAAATGTATTTAATTCATGTTCTTTGGAAGTTTAGTGAAGAATAGTGAAGGATTGTATAAAGCTGGAAACTTACAAATAATCACACAGTCTAGATACTCATTTCCTTTGCCTGTAGCTTGAATTGTTCTTTAATTTTATAACTTGTTTGTTGTTTTTCTTATTAGTTGTCATTAAGTCATTTCCACCTATGCATTAGGTACAGAGCAGAGCAGCTTCATAGCAGTATTTTCTTGCCTACAGTCCTTATTAAAGCTGATCACTGGGTCTTTTCTTTCATTGTGACTGTGAGTTTGAACTACCAATTGTTAGGTTAGCAGCCAACCATAAGTTATGATAAATGATTTACAACTATTATGATTGAATTAAAGTAATTATAATTGCTTAGTAGTCATTCTGTGGTTCACTTGCCTAATTACCCTAGTTCTATTTGCATTTTGCAGACAATTTATTGAAAAACTTCTGAGTAGTTTGTATCATTTTAGTCTCAACAGGAATGTTTTTGCCATTCTGTTCAATATTTGTATCATTAGTTACAGTAGCATCAGCATCTGTTTTTATGTAATGTTACAACTAACAAAGTATTTTAACAAGCTTGACAGCAGTGAGACTGGTAACTAGACACAGACCAAAGCACATAATTCATAATTGGGCAAAAAGGAGCATATGCCTCATCATTCTCTGCTAAATACAGGATTAATCTAACTGGATTTTACCTATAAATGTCTCCTTTGAGGATACATTGTTCAAGGCCTAACAATTTTTAACCATAATAGCTAGTTGCTGTTGTAGTCAATAAATTATTGAAGGAAGTAGAGAAGGAAGAAGAGGAAGTCTGTTATGTAATAAAAACTTTCTGGAGTCTGAAGTATTCTTAGTCTTGAAATCATTGTCTATGTCAAAGCCTACTGTCCAGCTTCCAGGGAGATAGTCTATTTCTGACCTCTATAGTTTTAAGAGACTATACCTGTATTGAAAGCTCAAAGTTCATTCTCATTAGCTAGTTACTGCTTTACCTATACTTTACTCTTAACAGTGTCATCATTGTTAGTGTACTAAGCAAAATGCCTTTGGAATTCAGTGGGCATATAAATGGCGAACATCAAAGTAGTGGAGTCATATTTACCAATGTTCCTGACTGTGGTTTGGAACATAACTACCAAATTGAGGTAAACTAGTCACAAAACAGAGATGGACTCAGGTAAGAAGCAACCCCAAAGGACCACAGTTCCAATCACCTATTCCATGGGAGAAGAATAAGCAGTCTCCTCCCATGTGATTCGCTGCCTCTGTAACTCTGCTGGAGAGTCAGCTTTGAGTCAGTTGTGACTCAGTGCCACACAACAACAGTCATAAGGCAGAGAGAGAAAGTTTATTAAGTAGTTAGTGAGCTAACACTTCTCTTAACTGCATGCTGGGAAAACTTATGAAGTTCCTCTTTTATAAAGAGCTCCCCAGTGATGTAATGTTTTATGGGTTGCCCTGTTAACAGAAAAGTCTTTGGTTCAAATCCACCAGCTTCTCCGCAAGAGAAAGCTGAGAAGTTTTTGTTCTTAAAGGTAGCCTCTGAAGCACAATGAAGCGGTCCCATGAATAGGAAGGGACGCAGCAGCATTGTGTTTGGGATTTTTTGGTGGTGCAATCATCATGTACTTCGCTCAGATTTCTTTTACATATTGATAATATGTTCTCCGTGTTAAATCTTGCCTTTTGACCTTCCATCAACTCCCCTATAAAATGCAGTTTTCAACTGGAAAAACAGTTTGTCTTTAGGACCTGTTTTGTCTGTTTCTTTACTGTTTAGCAGAATTAACACATAGATTTGGAGTTAGCAATACAGCACGAATAAACCCAAAAGGAGAGACATCACTGTAGAATTCACAGGCTGCTGAACAGGTCCTTTTGTTCAGCGAAGGAAACTAAAAGGAAATCTGGAAAAAAACCTGAAAGACTCATCTATCACAGTTTCATCATTTTTCTTCTTGTAAGAGGAAAGGTTCTTCTTACATTTATAACTTATCTTTGATTCAGAGTAACTGTGTCCATTCAGTTCACTCTTTACATCAACTGGGAGCTAAGTGATGCTCTATAATCCCAAGATAAATTTTTATCATGCTGATTCTAAAAGATAAGGCTGATAAGCAAGCTGGCCTGTGGCTGCATAAGAAAGCTGTACTTCATTTTCTTTGAGAATATTTATTCCCTACCAAATATCCCATTTCTAGTTTTAAATAATATTTTTCAAATGAATGCATCATAACTAGGTCCTGCAGAATAACATTAAAATAATAATCACTTCAGAAAGAAGTAATTTAAATTAAAAAAGTAATAACTTAATAGTTTTAACATATATTTATCAATTTTATTTTTTATACTCTAATAAGAAGGTCAAAAGGTTTAGTGAATAAGTCTCATATATTTATACTTTATTATATAGCTGATTATGAATCTTTTCTGTCCTGATTGTATAATTTCTTATAGAAAACTCTTGTGGTTTAGTTGTTAAATGCTTGGTTGCCATCAAATATATAAGCAATTTGAGCGTACAAACTGATTCATGGGGAAGAAAAGATGTGGCAGTCTGCATTGATAAGATTTATAAACTTTGAAAACCCTGTGAAGTAGTTCTACTCTGTCCTATTAAGTTTGAAGAATGACTGTGAGTTAGAATTAGCTCGATGGCAATGAGCTTGTTTGCTGATTTTTTTTAACCTTTTACATCGTGTTGTGAGTAGGGGTGGTGTGCTAGTTTTGCTGTTTTTAGTAAAAGCATCAGGGTCTGTTCTGAATGAGTTTTCTATAGTGTTTGCTACTGAGCTTGAATGAGCAGAAACTTTAGCAACCCATTAGATGCACAGACCACTAGGGTCTGCTTGAAGTTCAGGATTCTTGAGCAAGAGTGAGTGGTGACAGCACACTGCAGGTGGGCCAGTCAGCACTGCCACGTGGGGCTACAGGGATACCCTGCCCAATTTTTCATCCCAGAGAAAGCTGTCAACAGTTTCAGCGGCTTAAATGCAAAACCTGTAGAATTCACGACAAACTAGCTTCTAATATGTTTTAAAAGTTTTTCTCGTGTATGAATATAATAAGCCATATCACCTAAATAAATAGTTTTGCAGATTAAGTTATAATATTATGCTAAAATTATATTCAGCATGTTCTACAAAAATGTTTTCTACCACAAAGAACACAAGTAAAATTTCCCTCTTATTTAAAGTATAACTGAGTAGAAGGTGAAACCATCCACGTCTCCCCTCCTTATTCTTTTGCTTTATTTGTTTGGTTTAAAGACCCGTGAAGGATGCTTTGAGATGCATCTTGAAAAAGGCTTTTTGTTTGAATAATAAAATAATGGCCCATTTCTTAATACTAATTATAGTAATGATTAATAGTATGCATCCCAGAATACCTTCATTATCTGATTGATAAACACTAACCATTTTCTTCTCTATTTGCTCAGGAATAATACGTGCTATTATTTCTTAAGTGTTAGTTTGTGCCAGTTCCTTTGCTGAGATTATCTGTAATATGTAGAATAATCATGTAAAAGGCCCATTATTCCTATTTTATAAAAAGAAAATTTGACTTGCCCTGGGTGTTTAAATGACTTGTTCAAGTACATGAAACCAGCAGGAGATGAGATTTGAAGCAGGAATGGGCACCAAAGCTCAAGCCCTTCTGACAATTCTTTTGCTGATACTTTTAAGAGCTATGAAGAGCAGTAAAATGGTCCTAAACTAAGCTCTCCTCTCCACGGGGGTAAAAAAGAAGTAAAGACAGCCTTGGGTGATTCAGGAATGGGATAATCTGAGGTTGATTATTAGGAAGCTTAAAAAGCAAGCAAAGTAAAAGGATCTGGGTTAAAAGTCACAACAAAATGTAGACTTTTGCAGGAAATGAAAAACAAATGTAGAGAAAATGGAAAAATTATACAAATCAAAGTTAACAAAGGTGTCTGAGACTCATACAAAAATAAAGTAGAAAATGGTACAAAAAAATCTAAAAGAGAGTTCAAATACAATTTTCTGAACTTGTCTAAATGAACTCTGGTGGACTAGTGGTAAGGAGTTGAAATGCCAACTCAATGGTATGTGGTTCAAATCCTCCAGCAGTTCTGTGGAAGAAAGACGGACAATCTTCTCTCATGTGATTTACAGCTTCTGATAGCGCACTGAAGCAACAGCTATGAATTGGCTTGACAACACTTAATGACAACAAATTGTCTGAAGATGATTATCTCCATCTTCCTTATACTTAGAATCTTTGCTGAGTTAGCATAGTCATTTTTTCATCTTATCAAGTTGGAACCAACTCATAATTGACCCGCGAGCAGGTTTTCAGAATTGTGCAGGAGGAGATTGCGCTTATCTCTTCTTCAGAACAGCTGGCAAACTGTGTGCCTTTGGATTGGCAGCACAATTCCTTACCACTAAACCACCAGAGCTCCCTAGTCCTGACTATAGAAGTGGTTTAAAGTTTGTAAACTAAACTTTTTTTGTTATGACTGAGCACTGTGTGCTATTCCAGGGATCTAGTGATGTAAGGGGAGAAGTTCATTCACTGAAATCCCTTGCAGCTCCCAGATTGGAGAGTTTTGACTTCCTTTAATCCTTACCCAATGGTTGAAGTATCATTTTCAACTTCCCTGTAACTGTGAGGTTTGATAAGCAGATATTGTTTACTATGTGAGAGAGATTTTAAAGGCAAATGAGAATTTATTTCTTTTCCTGCCACTAAATGGAAATTTTTTTTTAGGGCTTTATCATGCATTTACAAGGAGCGTCTTTCCATTTTCCACAAACTATCATGGCTATCAGGCAACAATGGCCCTCTGTTAGGAAAAATAGAAATTTTGAATAAAATGACTTTTGAGCTACTTGTTAATACACATTCAATTAAAATGTCTTCTTTTGGTTTTTTCTAGGCTATTTTGTATGTCTAAAAATGCATACATGCAATGTACACAGAAATATTTTTTCAAATATATTAATTGTGCAAATTAGCTGTCGTTAAAAAAGGTTGATATCTGAATTGACCTATATTAACATCACTTTAATTACCTTTGAGTGTGTCTGTAAAATATCGTTTCTTTAATGATTATAGAGTTTCTTTTCTAGTTACATTAGAAGATAAAATGTTGCTTGTAAAATTGTTGATCCCCTTTTCATACTTAATTTTAAGTCAGAAAATTAAATTAATTACATACATTTTTAACTTAAAATTTCACTATTCAATTGCATCCAGAATGTCTGTCTTTATTAAGCCTAAATGTTAAAGAAACACTTTTTAGAAGGGAAAAATTGAAATAAGCCTTTCCTTTATTTCCTCTCCAGCTACATCTACATCTACGACTGGGACAAGCCATCTGGTAAAGTGTGCCGAGAAGGAGAAAACTTTCTGTGTGAATGGAGGTGAATGCTTCATGGTGAAAGATCTTTCGAACCCATCAAGATACTTGTGCAAGTAAGAGAAGCAATCCTTTCTGTGGCTGTTTCCATAACTGCTTATTTCAGATGGTTTTGTGTCTTGTGATGAGCTGTTGTTTCTTTTCCAAATTTCGTGCCATTCTGTTGATTGGTAGGGCTTTTATTTGGAGAATGTTTGATAAGTTCACGCCATTTGTCTCCTCTGTTATAGCCAGACTTTTTTTTACCAGTGTTGGTGTTTTGTTTGTGTTTGGTTTTGTATGCGTTTTTTTGCCTTCATATGATGCTGCTTATATCGTGCTTTTTCTCATTATTACCCAGAAGAGGCATGCAGTTATCATAGAGGTGTAATATTTCCTACCCACTTTTGCATTTAATATGTAAAATAAGCTGTAAGATTATGTTCTTTCCTACTCCAGCAAACAACCTGCAGAATTACTAACTGGGATGCCTGAAAGAAGCAGAAGAACAGAAGACTGTTTCTTGATATATCTGTTACTTTTGGGGATTATCTTCTGGTTTCTTACTATTTATAAGAATGAAATGTTGGTTGACCTTGGTGAAAACACATTGAATTGTGTATTTGTAAATGAAGTTAATGTGGTGTATAGAAGGCAGACTCTTCTTCCACGTGCTATAGTTATTTATATGTGTACCTAGGATGGTATTCTTCCTCATGGCCAGAAATACTGGAAGTATGGCTAAGAATGATCACATGTACTCTCTTTCAACAGGGAGAGTAAGATAGTGAGGCATCGGTGCATTAAATATGTAAACTTTGTAGTAAAAATAAACATGGCTCGTTTAAAGTAAACATTTATGGTACTGTGCATCTAAGTCTAGTGTTGACGTTCTCTGCATGTGATAGGTGAATGCATAGTTTGATGTGAGTAAAAATGATAGCGAAAATTGCACATTTGCTTTGATCTTGACAATAATTGTGTTCCAAAAACTGAATTTTTAGTAAAGATGACATTTTAAAACATCTAGCAGATTTTGCTGATAGTTCATAATTAAAACATGGAATAGATACATTGTTCTAAAGTAGCAAAGCTTGCCTTAAGTAAGAAGAATGATGCTGTTGTAAAAAGTATTTCCTGCTTTAGAACATTAGCATGTGGCATCAGTGTTAACAAGAAAGAGCACATCTGCACAAAGGTGACTGCACCACTAAAAAGAATAATTGGCAGAATGAAACAAAAGACACAAGAAACAATTGACCAGTCCGTTTTCCTTTGACATCCTCCAAGTTGTATACAACTATATATGTATCAGTTAAGATAGTCTTAATAATACTTATAAGTAATAAAATGTGCCTTAGGAGGAGTGTTTTATAATTGTTACCTCCAGACAGAAATGCCATTTTTTTGGAAATGTTTTGTAGTTTCCAGTGTTGGATTAGACATTGGCTTCTCTGCTGTATGCTTCACAGGACCACGAGGTGATGCACAAATATCTCCCCAAAAATGTCTCTTTCTTGTCTTCAGAACCTTCTTTTAAAAGAAATAGTAACCGAGAGACAAGTTTCTGCAGCTATCTACCTATAGCCCTGTGTTGTGGTGCAATTTGTAACATATTAGGTAGGCTGTTAACAGAAAGATCATTGGTTCAGATCTGTAGGAGCAGTCTTCAGTAAAAATTTATAAACTTGAAAGCCTCACGGTGATTCACTCTGGGTTAGAATTGACTCTATGGTAGTGAGCTGTTTGGAACTTTTTTATTTTTTACAGGGGGTAGCGATGTAGAATGTTCATGGGTTGGCTAGATACCCTGAGGCTAGAGCTTTGAGGCTAGCAGAAGTGCTTTTAAAGAAAAAAAAAAGCCTAGAAACTGGGTTCTGAAAAAAATCACCAACGGGGAATCTTGAGAGAGCAAAGATCATCCTGGAAACATACAAGAATTCTATGAGTTAGTATTGGCTCAGAGTTCACTGTCTTAGCAATGAAGATTGATAACTTACAAAAGTAGATATTCCATTTTAAAGTTGATAAGCACAAGGAATTAGAAGAGTAGAATTTTAATGCAAATAATTAGTTAAATATCTCTTTCATGGTGATGCTGCTTACTGTTGACCAGGAACCAACTCACAGCTGACCCTCCAGTGGGTTTCAGAGGTAGCAAACTGCACGGGTGTTTATTGCCCACCTTTCTTCCACAGAAAAGCAGGCAGCAGATTGAAACCGTGCATCTTTCACTTGAACGTGCAGGATAAAAATGATAGAGGATTTAAGAAAGAATTTAATTTCTTTCAAATCTCAAACACTATTGTGTATTTTCTAAAATTTAGCCTTAATTAACTCACTTTTTTATCATTAATGTACTCAAATTTACCAATAATATCTCAAATCAACTTATAACAAATAACATTCTGCCACTTTTCTTATTGCCAAATTGTGACTCCCTATGCTTATAATAAAAAATAATAAAATGCATTAAGGTGATTAAATTTTATTGTTTCAGATTTTTTTTCTCCAATCACAGCAAAAAATGCCAGAAGCTAAGAGTTATAATCTATAAAATATGAAACCTATTTGTTATGTGGGAAACCTTGTTATTCTTTCCTAATCTTATACATACAGTGAAATTGTATTTCAAGAAATCTCCCAGAAAAAAAAATGAAGTAAATTATAATTCCTTAAATTGGTTACCATTTTAAACAATTGTATCCATATTATCTATGTCTCATATTTCTACGTCTTTAGAAAAGCATCTGAAACCACCATATTTTAATTATAATAATGAAACATGATCGTTTTTCATCATAGCCGTTGCAAGGATTTACAAGCTGAGTGAGTATATTTGATAGTTTCTGAATACCTCTAAGGAACTAGTGAGTTATTTTCCACATATTCATTTCAGCTATTCTGTAGCCCTCCCACGTCCTCTACAAAACATGCAATTGCATAAGTGCTAGTCATTTGTTCCATTTTGGCACTGTGCCAAAAACCATCATTTTTCTTTACTCACATAAGTTTTCATTAAATTTATAGCTAAATACAGAGGGAGGGAAGTCTCTTTTTTTGTTGTTTGTATGGGGCATGTTTGCTGGCACTTTAATTATTAGGAAAGCAGTAAACCACAAATAGACACTGAATTCTCCAGGCTAATTGTCCTATAGGTTATTTATGTCTTCTAATTCTCAGCAAATTGGCATTACATTATTGTACTGTTTTAATTGGAAATTTGGATTTTCAGAAAAGTGCTAAAATTTCTTACTGGCTTTTACCGAAAGTAAGAAAGAAGATTTTTTTTCTTTTTATTTTACAGCTCTAAGGTTGATAGCTCTCTTTCTGAAGCATGACTGTATTGATGTATCCAGGCAAGTCAATACCATGAGAGGAAGGGTTGGACTGTATTTAACATGCAAAATATTTCAGGCCTTTTTTTGTTAAGTGAAAGAGATAAATATGTTTTGTTTTTCAAATCTCTGCACTAAAAAAAAGAATATATGGCATTAAAAATAATCACTGCTCAGTATTTAAACCAAGGTACAAAATAACACATAGAATGATGTATTCTTCACTGATTTCTTGAAGAAGAACAGAAAATGCAAAGTTGTTACATTGGCTTATCATGGTGCTATTTGTGAAGACAATTCATAGTTTCCATATGGTCCATCTGTCTAGAGCAAAACATTACTGAAGCATGAGCCACACCATTCAAAACCAGCATTATCCTGAGTAAAGACATGACTCAGAAACACCACAAACATGGACTTTTCCAAGTAGTCTTTCTGGTCAATTAATCTACTGTTGCCTTCTTGGGAATTGAAGTAGAAGATTTTACAGCGAATCGCTTTTGTCTCTCAGTACAAAACAATTTGTTCCAAATGGATTAGTTATGTAACGGTTAACACTTCTCTGAGGGGAGATTTGCTGGATACTTGGACTTCCCCCCCCCCCCAGGGACCCAATGGGAACTTGAGTCGTATCTCTCATCTTTTATAGTTCTTTTCTCTCTACAGTAATTTAAAATTTATACTAGGAAAAAAAATATTGGTTGCAATTCTCGATTAATAGACGAGAAAATAGTCATAATTTTTTTGTTGTTGTTGCACTCTAGTTCTCAATGTTGTGGTGCAGTTCAAAGAAACAAGATAATTTGAACACAATATTTTCCAAGTATTTCTCTTTTCCTTTTCTGATTTTGTTTTGTTTTGGTTTTTTTATATATTGCATATGTCTCAGTTCTTCTGAGCAGCTTTATAAGAAGATTAATATTTTGGAAAATATTAACATGATTGCTTTAATAGAAAAATAAGGTCAGATCAAACTGTATTTAAATGCTGTATTTATAAACAAAGTATGTTTGCTATCCTGTGGACAGATGTGTTGTCTTTGTGTGATGACTACAGTTTGTATGAGTACTATAGTTTTAAATACCAGTTTTGGGGGGAGCAATTTTAATCCCTTTCACTTCAGTCCTACAAATAAAATCTGTATTTATAGTACAGAGTTAGTATGTTCACATTCTTCGCAGAAACACAGTGAAATTAAATGAGTTCATTTCTGCAAAAGTACATCTAACTCTTGGGGAGCAGGATTTTTTTTCTTATAATAAAAAGTAAGTGGTAGTATTACATGCTCTCTGAAGGCATAGGAAAAATACATACACCTGCCTTAACAGAATGTATTATCATATTTAAATCCCAGTTCTTCATTTTATGGAACACGAGCAGTTTTTATTTGATTTAGTGAGACCACCAGCTAGCTTTATAACTTTGGATTATCTCTGAACGTTGGCTTCTTTGTGTGCAAAAATCCTCAAAGAAATAAAATTTAGAAATAAGAAAAATGCCTTCAAATATTGACCTATGTGATTTCATAGAATTTGTTTTTATGGAACCCTGTAATATATGTAAAAGCCTCTATAATTTTAGGCATTATTGTAGGAGTCAGTTACATACAATTGATAGAGATAAAAGTTGCAACAAATAAATGGTAAACTAAATCAATAGAATATTAATTATACTTAATTATAAATTAATTTTTATATAATTTGAGTTATAATTCATTACAAATTAACCAATGTTTATAG